TCAAACTGCCTCAGTGGCAGACATTTATATAGCACTTGAAGCTTTGCAAAGCATTTTACATATATCAACTCATTTGATCATCACAATAACTCTGAGAGGTGGGTGCTGTTGTTATCCCTATTTTATATGTGAGGAAATTGAGGCAGACAGGTTAAGCAGTTTGCCCAGGGCCAAATAGCTAGTGTCTGAGGCCAGATTTGAACTTAGGTCTTCCTAACTTAAAGTCCAGCATTCTATCTAATGTGCCACCTAGCTCCCTCAACTTAAGTAACTTATTGGCCCTTAAGTGCCTAGATTGCAAAAACATGCTCTTCCATCCCCCTTAGTTCATCAGTTGCAAGATGACCCAGTTTTGGTACCCCCAGAAAATCTGAACCACAATTGTAATTCTGTTACTTACTGTCCTCGGATGGGATATTACTGTTCCCCCTTTTACTCATATGTAACACAGGATACTTTGAGCAACTTTCCAGAAACTATTTCCCAAAATGATCAGTTTATCTAATAATTTTTTATCAATCTCATCTGCCAACCAGAGAATGAGTTTTTATTCCACAGAAGCATATACAAAGTAAACCCTACCCTCTTACTCTACTTCAAAGCACATTTCCAAATGTCGTTGAAACTGTAGAACTAGTTTAAGCCAGCTCCCTAAATATGAAAAGTATCTTCACCTTCCCTACACTGCCTCGCTCTTCTCCAGTTGCTTCAATTAGGAGAGAAATATGTATTCCTGAGAATGGTAAGTGGGTAGGCTAGTAGATAACACTGGACTTTGAGACTGGAATCTTCCATTATAGTTTGTAGAATGCCATAGAACCTGTGTTCATAGTTCATGATGTATTTTGGACTCTACTTTCTCAGATATGGCTTCAGAATAAAATGCACTCTTCCTTAAGGGTCCCTCTGGGATTGTGGTAACTATTATTGCTAACTAATTCTGAGACTAAGCCACATGTAGAGATATCAACCCACTTACTCCACAATGTGGAGTCCTAGCCTAGAAATCTAGGAGTACCTGCTCTCCTCTTGTCCTGACATTTCTTCTTTTTCCTTCATCCAAGCAGCTGGAATTAGGGAGGCAACTGTAAGGAAGATGTTACTTCCAACGTTAAGGAAATTGGTTTGAAACTCGAAAGGAATCTGTTCAGGGTTCCAAGGATATTTTAGAAATTTGCTCTAAAACTGAAGTTGTGAGCCAGATTTTCTTGTTGTGGCCTATGCTGCTTAGGATAACCACTTTTTGAAGCAGTCATTCCTAATTAACTGGAAATTCTCCATACTATTCCTAGGATTTCCTCTGTCCCATCAGCGTAGCTATAGCTCTAACATGTGTTTTGTTGCCTATGATTTATATGCTAACTTCCAAAATTCTGAAATCTGTTATAAAATATTTATACAATAGAACCTTATTTTCATCTTTAACAGAAATGTTATAATAACAAATGGCAAAGTAGACAGGAAGATACTTTGAGTTCTAAGCGACAGTTCTTTGTAAATCTGAGGTACTATTATTATTCCTATTAATTTTTATTAGTATGATAAAGCAAACTTTATGAGGCAGTGAGCAAGAGTATACCTTTTGTCCTTAGAGTAAGCTCAGCACAAATGAGCAGAGTGGTTTTATAGGCCGAGCAAAGGGCTAGAAGACAGCAGTTCTAGTTTCTAATCATATCTGTCCTCTTACTGGGTTCTGATTCAATGGATGCCCAGATAAGTCATAGACAAAATGACTGAGAGTGGTAGCTTTATGTGTCACAGAGTACTTTGGAACTTAGTCTGCTTAATTTCTAAATGAGAGTTTTATTTGTCATAATTTTTGGTAAAACTAATTTTTAAAGTTACCTTGGAATAAAATGTTTTAATATCATGATTACTATTACTTGCTTACTACTCATCCTTTGTGGATATAAAAGGATAAATATTTATAGACTCTTTTGAAGTCTTCAGGTGAAAAGTGCCCAGTAAGTATTATCACTGTTATTATTATCATTATTAGAAAGAGATAGACTTTTAGGCTAACTCCAGGTTTGCCATTTATCCTCCATGGCAGAGGAAACCATGATCTAAATTTGCAAATGAACTTTTGGTCCTAATACCATAAAATCGTTTCCAGGAATAATAACTCCTACTAAACTTCTCCCTGCCAGCAGGTCTTAAATTGGAGGTTTTGGTAATATATAAAACATTTACCTTCTTCAGTGCCGGCTTTGTGACATTCCATTACTGTAATTTCCTTTTCCAGCTTGGCAATACCAATAAATAAAAATGAGAAAATGCTTCGGTCACCCATTTCACCCCTCTCAGATGTGTCAAAACACAAATACTCCAGTGATGATTTAACTTCTTCCAGTAGACCTAATGGCAGCAGTCTGTTCACTTCCATCTCCTCCAGCAAAAAACATAAGACGGAGAATCAGTTGCAGCCCCATGCTGGAGACCTTGCTGTAAGTTTTTATGTTGTCATTTCCTAATTAAAACATTCACATACAAACTTGGAATTTCTCCCTCTCCCACACACCTTCCCACCCCTCCCCAACCCTGTCCCTACTGCCAACAAAGCATTAAAATGCTGACTTGCTGCTTTACAAGAGATCCGGAGTAAAAGAGTTGCCTCTCAGCTCTCCCATTTGGGGGTCTTGAGGGGCTCAGGAAGATGAAAAAATAAGAACTATTTATAAGCCTCTTTTGCTCTTTAAAAATAATTTCACACAGTTTTTGGTTTCAATTCTCAAAAGGAAACAACCAAAAATAATATGTCCTTTGGTGACAATGTAAAATAGCAGTTAGAAACAAGTCTTTGCTCAGAAAGTTCCCCAGGGTGGGATCACATAGGGCAGTAGGTGTCTCAGAAACCTGCTCTTGAGGTCTGCCAATGCCTTCTGATCTGCTTTCTCATTGATCAGTGTAGACCACAGAATGGCAGCACTGCCACAGCACCCTTTTTTTATGGAGAGAGCCCCACTGGTGAATGGAATCCCTCCAGTGAGAAGAGAGATTTGACAGCAGATGGTTCTTCTCTCTGATGCCTAACAATAGTATAACTTTGGGACAGAATCCTCCTGACAAAGTTTTCCCAGCCATATTTCTTTTCAGTCATTGCTGCTCTTGAAAATTGGCAGGAGTCCCACATGTGACAGAAATGTGGTAGCCCTTTGTAAGGGGCTTACAATAATGAAGGGATGAGAAAAAGGAAGAAAAAGCAGTGGCCTAATAAATACATATTACTTTAACCTATTAACTGATGATAAATAAAACCATCCAGGAACCTAAAACTTATTGCCATTGTCAGGAAACTTGGCCTTGCAATTTTCATTTAGTAGCTATCCTTGCTAAACCTGAATCTCAATCCAAGTTCTCTAGAAAAAACGGAACATGGGAGGGAAATGAAATAAAAAGCTGCCAAAATAAATCTCCAGAGGGAAAAACACATCACCATCTCATAGGACCTTTGTGCAGCCATAAAATCACAAAAAAAAATTTTTAAGAATTTTTAGGTAAAGTAAATGATTATTACATCATCCACAGAGATAATTTTGTCTCCCCTTTGACTATCCCTAATTACTTAAATCATTTTTCTTCCCTTATTGTTACAGGTAACATTTATGACATTTTGTGAAATAATAGGGGGAATTTTGAACATCTTTTCTTCATTCCTGACAGATTTTCCTCAGTACAAACAATTGTAGCTTTCAGTTTTAGAGAAATGTTTTTTATATTAAATAAAGGTCTTAGAATTGTAGTATTATAGATTTAAGTCTTAGAAATAATTTTATCAGTGCACTTTTAAGGATCTTTAATATAAATGAATAAATTACTTGTTTTTTTGTTTTTTTTTTTTAGGCAATTGCCTAGGGTCACACAGCTAGTAAGTGTCAGGTGTTTGGTTTGAGGCTGGATTTGAGCTCAGTTACTGCTGACTCCACGGCCAGTGCTCTATCCATTGCACCATCTAGCTGCCCCTACTTGATTTTTTAAAAAAGAATTTTCAGTTTTTCAAATTGTAGAGTCAGATTTTCTGGGTTACATTCTTTCCTGTGCCCAGTAGAATTTAACCTTCCCATTTTTCATATGAAATAGGTCCATGTTTGAAGATATAATTCTGTATCTATAAACCCTACAAAATTATTTTAGTCATTTCAAAGGAAACCATTTGCATTCCAAAATGGAAGATAGTTATGTTATAATCTACTCTCCCTAATGAAGGTACTTAATTTCTTTCTTTTCTTTTCTTCCACAAAGCAACAATGCTCCTTTTTTTTCATTCTCAAAACAAAACCAACAACACTGTAATAATTATCTTTGGTTTTTTTCTGCATATCACCTTGAAATTTCCAGTCTTCCAAAAATAGTTTATGGAAACTGGTGTTTGTGACCTGAAGGGACAAAGTAGTCATAGCTGTTCCTTGAAACAAAGAAAGAGTAAATTAAGTTGTGATTTACAATACAAAAAAATCTGTTCAAGTTTGTGTTAATTTTTCAGTTAGATGGCTGATTTCTTAAATATTTCTATGTTGCTCATTATCTAGAAAACAGTGCACAACAGCTCAGAAAACATTCTCTTCTGTAATAAACCACGACCCCAGACAGAACCATGGTCACCATTATCCAATGGGCACAGAGACTGCAGGAGACAAAAGCTCATCTTTGATGATATGTGAGTATGGGTTTTTTTGTTGCTATGTTGAGGATGGATGGATGAATAGATAAGCACTTACGTATGCCAGACACTGTACGAAGCATTGAGAATCCCAGTATGAGCAGATATGATAGTCCCCTTACTCAGTAGACTTAGATCCTGACCGGGAAAGACATCACATGAAAGGGAGCTGGAAATAAAGGAAGAGTTCTAGACATCATGCACACACTGGTATGGAATGGAGGCAGCCAGAGAGGAAACAAGATGAAACAAAAGTTCACCTATCAGAGCTCCTAGAACTTCTGGAGTTTTAGGTACTGGTGGAAAGATGAGGATGATGTCCAGAATGCAGGTGATATAGGGTTTGGAACTTATGCCTAGGAAATGAGGTAGAGGCATTTTGAGACAAAATTTAACTTATAATATGGTCGTTTTGTTTCAGAGCTGTAACTAACAATTTTAGTGTTCAAAGCAAGCAGTACAAAACATACCCATAGGTTGTGTGTAATTCATGATCTGAAAATAATACAAGTAATTAAGACTAATTTAGTTGAGCAGTAAGAGGAATTAATTACTACAGTGGCTTACAGATTGGTTTTATTAACATTTCCAGTGATCTGGTGGCTTTTGTATTTTAACTAATTATTCTTTCCATTTAGGTGCTAAGTTCCTCAGTTCTAAAAGAGTTCATGTGTATCAAATTTTTGCTAAAATTTTAGTGCCCTGGAGCAAAGGCCCAATTGCCTCACTCTAATTATGGCTCTAGTTTCCCCTAACTTATGGTGTGGTCAGTTTCTTATGTGTAGCTTAGTGAGTTAAGTACTTAAGCTTATAAAGTAAATTGAGTCCTGGATTCTAAATGCCTTTTTAAAGAACTTACTCTAGTAGAAGTATTTAGCTTCTTCATTTCAAACCGTAGGTTTTTGAAGTTGATGGGCTATAACTCCATAGAATCAGCTGAACTCTTGGAACAGTTCGGGCTGTTTTGCTCTAGAATATTTGGTCAGTGTATGCACATATATGTACAATAGCAGTAACAGATTTCTCAGCACCTGAATATTGGACTTGGGGTAGATTTATATTACTATAGTTGTGTTTACTTTTTAAATTCTAGCCAGCAGAGAATAGGAGTGATTTGTTAATGGAAGCACCATCCTCTCTCCCAATACTATACTTTACCTATAATATAGATGGTATTTGAAATGGAGGAAAAAAGAGAATTGGGATGATTTGAGCAAAAATGCTCTTGCTATACTTGCCCCAACCAAAACTTACTCTGGCCCCCTTCAATCCTGTGCTAATCCATTTCTGCTATCCAGGAAAGAGAAAAAGACGAAAAGCAGGAGAGAATGAGTAAAAGTATCATTCTGAAATGCTTTTGAGCCACTTGAGAGGTGGCCAAAAAAAGTGGCAGAATAACATTCTATTGTTCCCTTCTTACACTCCCCTACCTCTAACACAGATCTGAGTATAGAGATTATCAATGACTTTTAAGAGGTATGTGAGTAGTAGACTTCACTTATTTAACTGAACTTCAGAAAAATTTAGGAGCTAATAAAGGGCAAGGGAAATTTTAGATTAAAAGTCAGGTTTTTTTGAAAAATTGAATTAGTTTCAAATAGATTAGACTTGAGATAAAAGGTGGCCCACAGCAGGGGGCTGGGGGTGGTATTGTTTTCTTCTCTCTGCCAATGCAGCAAACCCTATGGAATCTCATTTCCCTATACTCTTCCTGGCAGCACACCAACTCCTCTTTTCTCCTTATTCACCTCCAAGGGCTCCCACTAAACAGTAAGAGGGGTGTTAATGAAACCTTTGGGAAGTGTGATAGCATTCTATGCTTTAAGGGTATAAGGAAGGAGAAACTGGTTGGTCTCCAGTATTGAAGAAGGGAATTATCAATCTTGTACACAAACTTTAAGCATTAGGGAGGAAAAAAGAATATAGGACAGAATTGTATTTAAGGACAGTGTAGAAACTTATATTAAGAATCTGTGGCTTTTCTTCCTAAGCCTCAAAATGCAACGTGGCCAAATAGAAGCTAGATTAGAAATTATTTCAGTGTTGTGCTCCAAGTTTATCACTCCTGGAGATATTTCTTGTGTCTCTATTTATTCTCCATGCTTTTTTGTAAGCTAATTGTACTTGGTCAAGCACAGAGTCATCCACTTGCTAAGGTGATTCAACTTAAAAAACTGCCTGCACATAAATTTGAGTGCTGGATATAGAGAATGCATTAAGTATGTGCTGGAAACTAAAATGCAGAGATATGTCCAAAATGTGTATAAATGAAGACTGAGTCAGAAGCAGCAACAATAAAATAGTTTTGCCTCAACCTGCTGCTCTTGGACTACTTATAAGAAAAAATGTTTTCCTTCTGCTGTCCCTGGAACTAATACAACTTTGCCACTGTCTGTATCAACTAAGAGGCTTTTATCACTTGTTCTTCCCATTAGCAATACATATGATTTCCCTGGCAGGCTTCTACAATAAAACTGCTTCCTCTTTTATGGAGATAGAAACAATAAAAAATTTTAAAACCTCTTACACATATACGACATGGATAGATTGCATGTTCCAATTGCCATGTGCCCCATAGTTATTTGAAATCCATAAAAATGAGATAAATATGCAACTCAGAAAAAAAAGGCAACTTCTCTACTGAATTGGGAAAGTCAGAAAATATCCTGCAAATTTAAGAGTAAAAGTAAATGCTACCTTTTCTTTTTAGCTATTAATGTTAATAATAAGTTTGTATGTACTTTAAAACCAGTTTTGCTCCTGGATCTGTTGTATACACAAAGTATAAGTGACTTAGGATTGGATTTCTGTAATTCTATGCTTGAAAATAAAATTTCTCGACCAAGAATCAGGCATATTATCCAAGTTCTCCTTTATTACACATGGCATTTGGACTTGTCTACCCTTTGTCCCCAAGCTCTCAACAGGTAAAGCAACAGTTTGAATGAATATTTTCATTCTCCTCTTCCTCAACTTTTTACCAGTAGCCCAGTTGATAGATTAGAATCTCATCTCTGTTTCTTCCCTACTTTGACCTCCCTTTGATATAGGTGCTAATGAGCAGTGAATTGACCAGAGGGAGGTATCAGAAGAAGGGAAGAGAAGAAACAAAAGGCTAGTTTAATTCAAAACTGGATAATTAGTATATGAAAATTGCAGGTTGTCTAAAATCCAATATGATAGCTTATAGTGAGCCAGTAGGTAACAGGACAATGTAAGTAATAGGTTTTATAGTGACATTTATTTTTAGATCTTCATTGGGCTGCCACTTTAAAAACAAAACTAGTTTTATTATAATATAATAGAAATATTAATTGATGAGAGATATAATCAAGGTCTCCTGAGAAATTTTTCTGGCATTTTTCCCCTTCTACTTCTGTTGAATGTAAGGAACCAACAGTAGTATAAGTTTAAATTCTGAGCCTTCAAGACTAAATTTCAAAAAAGTACCTTATTCTTTGTCAGTTACTAATTAAACATGTCTTTAATGTCCCAATTGGGCAGTTTTTATACCTTCATGATTCAGAAGTTGTACATGTGGCAGGCAGAACTAGATTGAGCAAACGTTTTGAAAAAAAAAAATATTATCCAGGTCAACTTGTTCTTCACGAGTTGCAGACCCAGAGTGTCAGGCTGACTTGTGCTTTCTCCAGCACTTTGCATCTTCACCATTTGGCAGCCAGAGGTGATGCCGGTGTGATAACAAAGTTAGTTAGAATTCAGTGAAAAAAAAAAATAAGTTAACTAGTCACAGCATTTGGTTCAAATTGATCCCCATTCACTGTTGGATCTCATTAATCCCCAAAAGCCACGAGCTGTAATAAATCCAGGATTGTAATTATTGACAAGAGAATTATTGAGCTGAAGAGAGAAATACCACATGGCAGAGGCTTCAATACAGAAGTCCTGAACAGACCTAAGTGGTAAAATCACTTGGCTGGAAAATAAACCAGCAAGTTCCAGCCAGCCATATTGCCACTGTTGGGAAGACAGTGGTCCCCAAGTGCCAGGTCTGCCTGCTGCTACTCCTGAAGAATGTGCTGTCTTGTGCCCATATTTCACATTAGTCAGTCATGAAAGCTGCATTCAGCCAAGCCACCAAATATCCCATCTGTTTCAGTCAAAGTGCTAACATGTAGTGAAGCTACCTAAACTTCACAATTTTAAGAGAAGGTTCCCCTCAAAAATAATGTCTAGAAGGCTTTGGCATGTCAAATGTAGGTGGGAAGAAGTGAGAGGGACCAGATATTTCAGATGTAACCGTGGTCAGCAGTATGCTTATAATAGAGCTTTGATTTTATGGAAGTGGGAAAGATCTCTTTGCCCTTCAGTGAATGGTTGAATGTCTCAGCATGACTTGGCTACCAGACAGCATCTGAAATTCTTTCCTAAGCTATATCCTTCCTGAGGTTGCTGTGGTCATCTTTCACCCAAAGACACCTCCTTTCCTCAAAACATTTGGTGATTTCAAACAGTAGAATTATAGGATCATTGATTTTAGAGTTAGGAGGGACCTCAGAGACAATTGAGGCTAGGGTTTCTTACTTTGTGTGTGTCAGAAACCCTTTTGGCAGTCGACTTAAGCCTCTAGAATCCTTCTTAGAATAATCTTTTTAAATGCATATAATAAAATACATAGAGTTAGAATGGAAATCAAGTATATTGAAATATAGTTATCAGAATATTTTTAAAACAAGTCAGAGGCCCCAAGTTAAGGGCCCCTTATTTAGTCCAACCCCTTGCCTTTACAGATTGAAAAAAAAAAAAAACCTGATGACCATAAAGGTGTGATCCCGTATTTGAAGTCATAGACCTATGACAAAACCAAGATTTGAGCTACAAATCTAGTGCTCTATTTACTGCTCATGCTTGAGTTTACCTTAATTTCTCACAAGCTGTTAATAGGGCTTATTAATCTAAATATAGAATTCATGTATATTTTGAGCTATGAGACCCTTATCTCCTCACTGAGTACATTTCATAGTCCCTTCTCTTTC